TATCTGGGCCTACACATCTTTTTATGTGTTTTTTTTTTCATATTCTGCTCTCTTGCTGTCTGGATTTCATAGAAGACCATTGGTATTTACATTACTTGGACACAGCTAAATGAAAGTATAAATGAAAGTCTTTTATTAGCTTTTACAGACAATGCATAGCTTCTAATTTGCACCAAGGAAACCAACCAACACATGTTCATTGGAAAACATACCTATATTTACAATTCACTGCAGTTTCCAGTTGAAATGAACACCAGAGGCAGCAAAAACAAACAAACAAACATTTTAAAGCTAAAATTTCATGGTTGCTTCAGCAAATGCGATTTTATCTCATGCATGCTTTTTCTAAACACAACCGGTTGGGTTAGGGTAGGGTTTAGTGTATTGTTTTCCAATGCAATAGAAAATGAACCTTTTAGCACCACTCACTGAACTTTAATTTCCGAACTACCGCAATATACAACAACCAACATGATAAAATGTTGTCAGATTCACTTTCACCTGTTTCAGATTAAACTGAACACACTTTTAGTGCCACTCATTTGACATTTCACTTTGAAAGAGTCGTGAAAGGTGCACAAAGCAATGTAAAGTTTCAATCCAGCACTATCCAATATTCATTACGGAAATTCATGCTGGTCTAACCTGGGCTTTCCAGAAGCTGAAGTGACCCCTGTGCTCTTTTGAGATTCTGCACACCATAATGGGGGGAAAAACATGTTTGGTGCCAGATGGATGGAGAAGAGTATAGGGAACAGAGAGATGGGTAGGTGTGGGCGTCTCTTTCCCTGCAGCTAAACACATTTAAGCATGCACACTCCAACTGCACTGAGTGCAAAGACCTGTTCCATCCGAATATGCAAGTCACCATAGATAAAAGCATATGGTCTCTGAATATTAATAACCCAATGGAGGCCGTTTCATAATCCCCTCTCTGTTACTGAAAGTCTGTCTCAGTGAAACACCCCAATCTTGCCATTCTAGAGTTATTCTTGTCTATGTAAATCAAAGTTGCATTATACATTAAAAAGTTATGTTCTCAACTTTCCCGGTGGGCTGGTTGCCTTTGGGGACAGCCGTCAAACACAAATTTCGAAACAGACTAAATATACAAAAATTTAAAAAGGTGAAAAAGTTCCTAACATGCCTAGGACCATTGAAGCCACAATGGTGGAGAGTTTTCTCTCAAGTCAGTAAAATTACGAATCAAATCAGCTGCTGATAGCTAATTTGTTTAAAAATTATTAAATTTTAACATTGTTCTCTGTTTACTTTTCTTAAATTGAGAAAAGTGTTAGTGTTACAATTTGAAGTGTTAGATTCTTGCTAAATATCAGAAAAAATGTATTTATTTTTGTCAATTTAAAATCTGTTCACAAATTTCCTACAAACATAAATGGTCAACAACTGTAATTTATTGAAAGCCATTTGTTTTCTAAAAAACGTGCCGTCCTGTGTGTTTCAACGCCGTGGTCTACCGTACTGTGAAGCCGGAACAGGCTAACTTGCTAATACAATAACTGTGAACTCTGTTGGACAATAGGAGATGGGAGAGGCCATAGGACATATTCCCCTTCCAGTCAGACAGTCAGGATATTACAGCTGCAATTTTCTGTTTCCCAAAAAAGATGGGGTGTTGTGTTCGATTCTAGACCTTCGCGGTCTGAATCGTTCTCTCAGAACATTCAAGTTCAAAAGGTTGACAGTCAAAATTGTGTCTCAAACTCAACACAAGATTGGTGTCACAATATGATGTTTTATTAACAAAGTTCGGGAGAAGCACCAAAGGTGGCTCATCTAGATTGGCACATCAATAGTTGATTATCACGCTTCCGGGTTTCATGGGCGGGATTTGTCAACTTTGTGCATGTCCACTTCCGACGCAGTTCAACAATGGCTGAGACGAAGGCTATATGTGTCACTGCTCTGTTCCACTTTGTAAATCTAACCAACAACGCCAACCCTACGTAAGTTTTCATGGATTCCCGACTGAATTGAATATAAGGAAGAACTGGATTAAAACTTTAAAATAAAACAAGGTAGCACGTTTGTTTGCAGCCGGCACTTTAGTGAATCACACTAATTTACCAGGGATGCCGTATAAATAAACTTAGTGTAGTCCGTCATCAGTTCGCCAGCGAGATCGTGATTCAACGGAAGTGGCAGTGCACAAAGATCACTGAATCCGGAAGTCCTACGTATTAGCGTAATAATCCCCTATTGCCTCGCAATGGTTTCTGCTGTATTTCTGGCCCTGAAATACTTCCTCTGACAGTCAAGGGGCTACCATGTCCTGGTGCGGGTGGACAACACAGTGGTAGTTGCTCATGTAAATCACCAGGGCGGACTGCGTTCGCGCCATTTGAACAAACTAGCATAGCAAGTTCTGCTTTGGGTCCATGACAGTTCCTGTCCCACAGGGCAATTTACATTCCTGGAAGCATAAATTTTGGAGCAGATTTATTGTCCAGATGGGAGGTGACACACCGGGAAGCTCCATCCCAAGGTAGTCAGTCAGATCTGGGAAAGCTTTTACAAAGCAGAGGTGGACCTCTTTGCTTCACAACGCAATGTCCCCTCAAATACTTCTCACTGACTCCTCTAGCCCAGGACACGTCTCTGTGCTTTCCTGCCAAGTGCTCTACCTCTTAAGGTCTGTCAACAAGGGTCTTGCATCTTGCTGATGGTGCCTCGTTGGCCGACCAGAGTCTGTTTCTCGGAAATAATATCCTTCCTCAACACCTCGCCCTGGGCGATACCGAACAGAACGGACCTTCTTTCTCATGCGCTGGGGATGCTATTCCATACTGGCATAAGCTTTGGATCCTTCATTTTTGACCCCTGAGTGGGACCGGCTAAGAGATGCTGGATCTCAAGCTGATGTAATAGAGACAATTCAAGGACTCCCTCCACTAGAAAAATGTATGCCATTAAGCGTTGCATCTTTGAAAGGTGGTGTAATGCACATAATGCAGACCCAGTCTTCTGCCAGGTTATTTTAGTGCTGGGATTTCTGCAGGAAAGCAGGCAGATATGTCAACAGCATATGTCCTGCTAATCTAAGAGTATTTGTGGTCGCTATATGACGGGGTTTCAGAGGGGAAACACCCTCTGATGGCCCGCTTCATTCATGAAGTTAGGCGACAAAGACCACCCATCTAGGACTTAGCCATTGTCCTAAGCCCGACTATCTTCCCATATATATATATATATTCCAAGTTCCAATTCAATCATGACAACTCTCTGCAAAATTGTTTTAGCATGTTATTGAATAATGTACTGTTAAAGGTGCAGTTTGTAATAATGACAGCTAGTGATCGAAATCAGAGATTGTTTTTTCCCCCACCCCCTACTCCTCAGACTCGATGCTCACGCGGGTAGCTTTTTTTGAGGACATGCAACATGAAGGAGTGCAATTTAAAATGAAAGCTGAGTAGACTCAGTAAGTTTATCCATGTTTTAATATTCATAGATTTCGACCCAGTTCGTTTGCTGGCTGCAATACGCCGTGTTTCCTGCCAACTGGCATCATGGGGTGTCGAAACACAATTGGGGGAACTGATAGTGGGTGAGATCTCACAGACCAAAACAAAAACAAACGTTTCAATGCGGAATGCATATTTTAAAGTAAATGAACTGGCTGTAAAAGTTTTTTTCAGAGAAACAATTATGTGAGCTTAGCATGTAAATACCTGTAAATATTCCTAAATATGTGCAAACATTATGGTATTTGTATGCTTTAGGAGACTGAAAGAGTTACACACAGCACATTTTAATGTATTTGGTCTTGGCGGAATAGATTTGTTATGTTGCTGCAGAGCAAGTATGGACTTGCTACTGCTAATTGATACACAGACACACTGCTGCGAGCATGTAAGATATGTACAGGCATGCATAACTCCAGGAGTGATCTAGGCAGGGGAAGAGTTTCAGAGGAACTCTGACAGTACGCTGGAGGACTAGCTTACAATGAACCAGACTATTTAAATGTTGAGAAAGCAAAGGCCAATCAGCTTGTGCCATGTAGTAATGATGTTGTAATGTTCGCTTACAGGCTGCTTGTAAGGACCAGCCTGCGCCCTCTAAAGATTCATGACTGAACTAGATATTTTAATGTAGTTTATGGTTGTAATAGGTTAATACAGGGGTTCTCAACTCCAGTCCTCGCGACCCACTGCTCTGCATATTGTGTATGTCTCCCTTACTTAACACACCTGATTCAGATCCTCAGCTCGTTAAGATAGACTCTACGGCTATCCTAACGAGCTGAGGATCTGAATCAGGTGTGTTAAATAAGGGAGACATACACAATATGCAGAGCAGTGGGTCGCGAGGACTGGAGTTGAGAACCCCTGGGTTAATAGTTTTCAGCATAAATTCCAGGGGTACAAATTTGAAAAATGTAAAAATGATGACATAAATATGAGTCATAATTATGAAATACAAAGATAAAATGATGACATTTAAATGACATTAAATCGAAATTGACAAAAAGTCAAAATTATTAGATATAGGGCCAGATTTACTAACAGCTTGTACCAGCACCCTCTTTTGCCATCACAAAACTACTATCAGGATTTACTAAAGAAAAATGTGCACCATAAAGTTGTTGACAGGGTTATTTTTGCGGCTGACCATAACCATAAGCATAACATAATTTTAGTTGTAATACAACTTCAGAATATTATTGATCATATAAATGCAGTCTTGGTAAGCATAAGAGACTTCTTTTGAAAACATTAAAAAAATCTTACCGATCCCAAACTTTTGAATGGCAGTGTATATATAGAGTAAATATGTAGTTTATAGTCGTAGCCTAATATTTTAATAGTTTTCAGCATAAATTCCAGGGGGTACCAGTTTGAATAAGGACAAATACAGTATAAACATGTATGTATGTAATTCAGAAGCATACAGTACATGATGAAACAGTCAGAAAAGGCATCTTGAGTCAGTGACTGATAATACGGTATGTGCTTTCTTTGTTTTCTCTTGTTCAGGACTTGGGATTAGAGGGTACATCACTCAATGATATCCTCTATAAGAATGCATCATTCCTTAACCTGGTGGACCCCATATCTCACGAGCTCCTGCTTTGTCTGGCTAGAGACATGCAGTGCCCAAAGAAGGTGAGTCATTCAGTTTCACTTGAGCATGATATTTCTTCACTATGTTGATTGCTACTCAGAGTAAATGAAAAGAAATGTGTGTACTGATTTAATGCAGCTATCAAATTGAGCTCACAAACAATTTAGTAATCCACACACATGGCTCACAAATAAAACACAAGACAAGACTGGGAACAATAACTAAGGCATCCTATTTGCATAACTAATGATAACTAATGCAACTAGTAGTGTTTCTTCATGTATTCATTTAAAAGCTAGTCTGCATTTCAGAAGGTTAGTTGAGTCTGTTCAATCAAATCATAAAGACTTGGTTCATAAAAATTTTAAAGGGATCCTTCACCTCTGGAAAGATGATTGTGTGTTTAAAGTGGGTCATTTATGTTGAAATGTGAAATTATTTTAGAATTTGGAGCTTTCTAGACTGAGAAAAGCTAGAAAATGTATTTTTGGCTTATGTGGATGAAAGACAACAACTCCCAGAATGCACTTGCTTCGCTGCACTACGAGGCCACGTGTTGAGTAGTTAACTACAAGTAGCGACGCTACTAACTTAACTACATTTTTCAGTAGCTTGGCTGTAGCTCAGTTGCTTTTTAAACAGTGTAGCTTTTCCAGTAGCTAACTACTTTTTGCAGCAAGTAGCGGTGTAGCTCGAGCAAAAGCTACATTGCGTTTCTCGAGCCTGCGCGAATCAGCGCGATGCAAGGATATTCTTCTTCTCGTTAGATTACAAACTAATTTTTTTGCCATTACCGCCACCTGTTGTTTAATCACGCGTCTTGCGGCTAACGGTTCACTGACGTAAAGTGGGTTGACAGTAAAACACCCATATTATGATTATCCATGATGGAGCAAGAGGTGACGGCAGATTTGGATGATGGAGAAACAACTGACGTTAATTACCCATGGTCTTATTTGTCCAAGTTCAATCGGTATTTTTGAGAAAATGTTCTAAATGCAATTTATGTTGGATGTATATTTTGTTCTTGCAATGTTGTAGGCTATTTGTTGCAATTTTGCACTTTTGACAAACAGTCTGAGATATTTGAGTGTTGTGTGTAATAAAACAAAACTCTATGAAATCATAATTGTATTGCATTGTTTTAAACACTAAATATTTTAATTAAAACATTCATCAGACACTTATTCAGTTATTTATAATATATAATTTATAGCATGTTATAATAATAATATGTAATATAATATTTATAATATGTTGTTCAAAAAGCAAAAGTAGTTTCAACGTAGCTAGCTACTTTTTGATAGTAACTTGTAGTGTAGCTAGCTACTTTTCCAAAAGGGTAACTTGACTGTAGTTTAACTACTTTAACGTACGAGTAGCTTGTAGCTTGTCAAACTACAGTTTCAGAGTAGCTTCCCCAACACTGCCGGTAACAGACACAGTTGTTAAACAACAAGTCTAGGCTACTAGCGAGTGTCCGTGATGAGTCTGCCCAAAAAATGTGTTTCGAGATCGCATATAGCACGGGAATTGAAGATTGGATTTATATCTGTTTTGCAAAAACACATTTATGTGACCAGGTGTAAATGGAATCATGATAAATCATTTACATTCTGTGAGTGAGATCCCACCCTTGAAAACATGCGGGAGTCTTTAGCCTTTGGCCAAAAAATCCTCTGATGACGCAAAATGATGATTTTTGCGTCATCAGAGGATTTTTTCCAGACCAAATAAAATACATAAATCTGTCATATCAGGGTAATATGAGGGTGGAAAGGATGGTAATTTGAAAATACTATAGGTTTTCTACTAATACGAAGCTTAATGCTAAATCCTGAAGTATCCCTTTCAGCACAATACTTGATAAACTCAAAACGGATGAGATTAAACATTATATTGTTGGCCTTATTGTAATACCTTGCGTCACAACCATTCCTAAAATGAATAAATCCTCTGAAAGATTTTCAAGGTGTTGTCTGACACACTGTGTCTGATTTTGCTGATATGCTGAAAGTATGATATGACTGAAGATCAGAAAAGTGTCAGTGCACCTTAAGTCAGCCCTACAGCTATCCAGGCTCTTTGAATCAGCACCAAAGGGCATTCTGAGTCTGATTTCCTTTTCTTGCTGAAGGCTTGATTTGTAAGCCATACCAGTTGTAGTCCACAATAGAAACTAGCATTCTGATGAAAGCTAAAGTCTGCTTGCTTATCTCATATTCTTGTCCATTAAAGATTATCTATAATATTATGATTTTTTTTTGATGGTACTCCTCCCAGTGATTAATATACTGTAGTTGCATAACCCTGAGACTGCTGCTGGGTATGAGAGTAGATGCATTAAATGATTTCCTGCTGCAGGAACACATTTTTTAAACATGAAGGCAAATGTGCCGCTGCTCCGATATTACAGCAATAGTAAGAGGTCCCTTCAAACAAATAATCCACAAGCATTTGTTCGTTGTACCCAGGTCTATATTTTGTTTAACAGTAACTTATTGTCAGGGCAATTAAGTTAATGCAATGATAGAATAACCATCTTATCTTGAAATCAATTGCTGGGCCGAAACTGAAAATAGGATTGGCCGCAAGCTGAAACTGAACTGAACATGGCTTGAAAGGGATAAAAAAAAAAAACATTTTTAAATGTTTTATTGGTATAATATGGTTATATAGGCTAATACTTTTGAATTATTTCATGCATTTTAGTGATGCACCAAAATTGAATGTCTGGAATGATTTAAAGTCCCCGTGAACCGGAAGTTGCAAACGATTTTTCTCCAGTGCTGTGACGTATTTCCAAGTGAAACGGAATATTGAACAGAGGGCAGGGTTTTACTCTAGCGCTCCTCCTCTCCATCTCTCGCTCATAGCAAACTAGCGGTTTGAGGGGAGTGGTTAAGCGTTTCCCCACCCAAGTTGTGAAACCTACGTCATCAGAAAAAGAAACCGTTCCAGACCGGAAGTAACTTTTCAGATTTTGATTAAAGATTACCAAGGTAAAACATTTTTTAAATATATTTTTACTTGCACGGATTAATTGCTCACCACAAGACTAGTAATATGCGCTAACAAAGTAAATAGGTTCAATTTTGATTTCACGGGGACTTTAACTTAAATAGCTCTTGTAAATTAGGATAGACCGGGACTGATGACCCAGATAGCAAACTGACATTGAATCAACGTAGAAACATGACATCGAAACAACGTTGATCTGACATTGTTTTGCTCATCGAATTAACGTTGAACCAACGTCAGACGCGTCATTCTTTCAAAACTAACGGAAAATCAACTTGAAATCAACGCGTTGTTTCAACGTTATGAAAGCAAACCAATTTTCGATTTTCATTTAGCTTTGAAGAATGCCGCGTCTGACGTTGGTTCAACGTTAATTCGATGAGCAAAATCAACGTTGTTTCAATGTCATGAGAGACATCGTTTCCACGTTGATTCATTGTCAGTTTGCTGTCTGGGGAAGATGAGGGTAGACCGACGATGACAAGAAAAAAAGGATATAGGGTGTCATGAAAGTCTTGCATGTAGGTGAGAAATAGGACCAGACAGTTTAGTGAAAGTGTGGGCTTATATGGTCCTTTTTAATTGGTGACAGGTGCAGGTAATCAGTGGTGAGTTATGCTGCGTTCATGTGCTATGGTGGTAAATACCAAAAGCCGACGTGGAAAATGCACATGAACATCCCCTCATGTGGTATTTTCCACTGGGCAACTCGTAGAATATTTTGATGGACGAGTTGCCGAGATGAGATAACCTTTGATCTTTTCAAAATAGAGTTGTGAATGGTAAAAATATATACTATTCATGATCTAGAAAATATACAGCATATTACTTTTGAGTTTTGATAAATCATTTTCTTGCTGTTGTAGATGACTTAAGCAATCTAAAATAGTTTAGCTAAATAACAGGTCTGGATCTCCATTTTTTTTTTACCACATTACGACAACAAAAGCACTTGAACGCAACACACTGGTAAATACCAGTTCACAAATGGAAAATATCCTACTTTCCATAGCACGTGAACGCCGCATTAGAACGGAGAGGTGGAGTTGCAGGGTCTGACGTTGATTGGTATGGCTGGTTTTATGACTTTATCACATAATTTTGACTTATGTCATAATCATGAGGAACCAAAGCATGATTTTATTTTCTAATGTGGAGGAAATGGCCTTTCATACAATATACCTTAAGAATCTGGCATACTTTACAGGGACTGTTGGCTAAATTGTGAATGTCTGCAACACACATGCCCAATTATAATGCACTTCTCCATCTTATGATCATCTTTTAAATAAATACATTCACAAATATTTCATATAAAATTCCACCGGTGGAAATAACTTTCAAACATTAAATGTAGACAGACTCACTTTTGTGAATGTGGTGTAGCCTATAAGCTTTGTAAAAATCACATTCATTTTGTGTGCACTTTAAGCTGGTTTGCAATCTAAATATTACAGACAAAATTTTGGAGGTTGTGAATTGAATTTGCACCTCAGCATTTTGCGTTACAAAGACAAAAAGTTATGGGCATTGGTTTCACAAGGGCATTAAATGCTGTTGGTTTAACATCACACCTGTTCCAGCATAAATATTTGATAACATGATTTATTCCACCACCAGTTGGAATAAATCATTTATTACCTAGGGCACGTTCAAGTTCAAAACGGTGCGCAACGTTTTGCTACGGTTTCCTAGTTGAACGTCATGTTCCCAGGAAACGGTGTGCAACGGTGTGCAACGGGGTTTGAGATATGTTTTCTCTCGTTTGGTGGGTGTGTCAGAACTGCAATCCAATCAGCAGCAACATGTATATAAAATACGCGGTATTAAAGTGAACTCGCACAATGGGTTAAGGAAAATAATTTACAAATGTGTTCAATGCAGATCGCTATATGCAACAACTGAGGATATTAGAAGATATGTTTGTCGTTTATTGTAAAAATATAGGATATCAACATGATGTAGTTTATTATATTTTTTAGCTTCATTGCAAGTGTATGACATTTGGTATAGAAATAAAAAATGGTAAGTGCTTTTCCTAAAAATGAGAAAGAAAATAGGTTATTAAAACATTATGAAATACAAATAAAGTTAGTGTGTGAGGCTAAACAGAATGTGTTTTAGTCTGAATTAGGTAAGATGTGTTCTTTCAGTTTCCACAAATCCCTTCACTTGATTGGGATGTTCTCTTGTGTTCTGGGCGGCAAGTGCAGTTACTGTAACATCGGGTATATTTTGTAATATTAAACACATATTTATACTGACTTCATCAGGCTCCGAAAATTCTTCACAAAGAACACAGAGAATGGCCTTATCGGGCTCCATAGTTGCAACTCTTCCGTCATCAGAACGGGGTGTTCAACGCATCACTGTTTATGTTTAAAAAACATTGTGCAACGTTTTGTCCGGGCTGAACGCAGCCCAGATTTGTATCTCTAAATGTGAAACCATCACCTCACTTTTGCCAGTGGGAGGTCCAGAGATTTCCATCTAAGCAGGGTACAAGTTATTAATAGAAGGCAATAGTGAAATTTTGGTTTAGAAATTCTGGTTATATTGTGACATCAAAATCCAGAGCAGTGATCCACAATAATGCATTTTAAATGTTAATAAAATAGTCTTTCTTTAAATTAAAATTAATGAGTTTTTCAATTTAATTTAAAGGAACAAAAGTGTCACATTCAGTGACAACTCTCTTATACACTTTATCGAGATACTTGTAGACAGCACAGACAGAGACAGATTGACCTTCCAAAAAAAGCTCATTCGTTTAAAGATGTTTAATGATTCAAAGCTTCAGACGGCCATCTTTGCAAAACCACATGACAAAAAACACAAAAAAAAAAACACACAAAGCCTTTATGGATTATATAGATGACTGTTTTCAGTCTCAGAGAAGATTCTTTTTCAGATGTATTTTTGTCCAAATCTAAATTTAGATCTAAAAAGTCCATCAAACTTCAGAAAAAAAGATTGCAATAAGAAACTGCCCTGATCTGCTCCTTAAGTAGTGAATTATTTGTTTGCTCACAGAATATGAGAACTTCATGCTGCAGGCCCCACATTTATCTTGTCAAGTTTAATCAAATGACTCTTTTTTTATTCTTATTGTGACTTTCTAATCATGTTGTTCTTTCAGGACTCAGAGACACTGAAGTCGACAGATAAAATCTGCAGACAGCTCATCTACCACCTGACCCCTCACTCCAAGTGGCTTAGAAAAAGTATGACCCGGCGAAAGGCCCAGGCCTGGTGAGAAACTTTCTCTGTTTTACAGTATATGGCATCAAAACATCAGAATATGCTGATATGGAGTAAATTATTTAATTCAATCCCTCAGCATTAATGCTAAAACTGATATACTATTTGCTACAGCTTTTATATTATATTATATTATATTATATTCTTTAAATTTCTACTCTGTAAACTATTTTAGTATTTAAACATTTTATTTCAGTCAGTTGCCAAGGCAACATTTCTGTTTATTTCAGTTAGTTGCCAGATTTAGTTTCAGATAATTTTTCCATTTCCTTCTCTTTTGAGTCCTTGGAAATCTTCTGAAATATAAACTACAAATCTGTTCCATGAGTTATTGAACAGAAATCTGGTAGTAGTTTCAAACAGTGTGAATATAGATGAGTGTAACAAATTACAGCTTTGACCTGCCACCACTGGCCCATTAATATCAGCACCCCCTTTCCCCACATCCCCCTTCATCTTGACTATTGATTAGTAGTCTTTTTAACAGCTCTGCTGCTGGATCTGGAAAGTGCTGTCTGAAGAGAGAGCCATAAATGCCTTTTGTAACGTACTCCCGATTGTAATACTCCCGATTTAAGTTATCCAACATAAATCTGTTCACTTCACCTGATTAATTAGGCAAGGCAAGGCAAGGCAAGTTTATTTATATAGCACATTTCATACACAATGGCAATTCAAAGTGCTTTACATAGAAGAAATTAAAATAATCAAAAGAAATCAGAATAATTAAAAATTTAATTATAATATAATTAAATTAATTAGAGCAACCAGTTTTCAGTGTGTTGTACAAGCACCAGTCAATGGTTGCACAATTTATTTTGCATATGTGTGCCTGTTGAAAAGTGAATAAATGTACGTGTACCACCCACATGGCCATTACGTGCACCCTCAATCCATTGCCTCTGCTCGATGCAGTTTTTCCACATACTGAATTAACCATGCTGCCCTGCTCCATTACCTTTAGGCTCTCATGGGAGGATAAAGCAGTAAGTGGATGAGAGACAGAGAGAGAGAGAGTTAGGGAGAGAGAGAGAGAGTCTCATGTATTATGCAGGGTTGCTAAACATAAGCAACTGTCACTGTACTGGTCATTTTGAAACAGGGTCATATTCCTTATAAAAAAAGATAATATGGCAGTTCCAGTGGTTCAGTGATGCTATCAAATGGTTCAATGACAAAATCTTTTACTTTATTAATTTCGTTGTCCAGTAAAATATGTAGACATACATAAAATAAAAATATTATTAAGTTATTATGAAATATCTAAAAGATAATTTGAGTCGCAAAAACGTCTCGGTTACAAATGTAACCCTCATTCTCTGAAGGGGTAATTGGGACCACTTCATGGAGCCCTATCATCTTCGAGTGTCTACAGAATGAGCCAATGAACGTTTGGGTGCGTGAATCACATCACACACCCGCCCCACAGCGTGGGTGTATACAGGAAACGGGCGCACGCACCTTTGTTTTTTGCTGAGTAGCCGAGATTGTGACTGCCGTGAAGCGATGGTCAGCAACCATGGCGACGGGAAGTAACGTCTCCCATTCCCTCCTTCAGGGAACGAGGGTTACATTTGTAACCGAGACGTTCCCTATCAGTTGATCACGTACAACGTTACGTTGACGTGATGAAAACGCCAAGGTTACTGCCACTTCCAGTAGGTATCAAACATATGGAACCCAGCCTAGCACAAGTTACAGAAGCATACGAGCACTAGACCTGGCGCCGGACGCTCTGCAACCTGGGGAACTAAGTGGGGAACTCGACTGGAGCCAAAAAAGCTGGTTCCAGCTGTGGATGGCATAATAGCTAAAACCAGACTCACTATGCTTAGAGTGAACCCTTGGTATTTCTAGCTGATGTGATCCTAATGATCTGAGTGATCTGTTGAGTTTATATTCAGTGAGCATATCTGCAATGTATTGAGGTCCTAGGCCATTGAATGATTTATATACCAGTAATAATACTCTAAAATCAATCCTAAATATAACTGGGAGCCAGTGTAAAGACCTAAGGACTGGTGTGATATGTTCCTATTTTCTGGTTCTGCTCAGAATCTTGGCAGAAGTGTTCTGTATGAGCTGCAACTGTCTTACTGTGCGTTCACACCGGACGCGAATAGCACATCAAATTAGCACATCAAATTAGCAGAATTAGTAGTTAATTCACTTTGTGTAAAAACAAAAGTTTGAAGCGAAATTTACGCACGTCACGTGCATCAGAATCGAAATCTGTTGGCGGCCATCTTTTTTTATGTTATTCGAGCATTCATTGAGAGAGTCACCGCTCTGTATTTGCTCTGGAGAGCAGAACACTGGCGTGGGGTTCATCAATGCCATATTTGTGTCCACCGGACCCTTCGGAGGCGAACCGTTTGACGAGTTTCACCATTTGCTTACTTGATGCAGAAGTTCAGATTTTTCAACTCGGGCGGCAGACACGAATTCGCGTCAAACACGTGAATGCATAAATAGCACTAAATCATTCGCACGTAACGCGCTTAACGCGCCAGACACTCAATTCGCGCCATTCGCGCGAACGAGGCATATTCGTGTCTACCGCGCCACGCTCTACGCCTCATTTGCGCCGCAGGAATATTTTACACGAGTAACACGTCTTTGCATTGACTTAACATTGAAATCACTCGCGCCTGACGCGCTATTCACGCCCGGTGTGAACGCACCATTTTGGTATTTTTGAGAAGGCTGGGGCTGTAGTTTTTAGGCGATAAGGCTAAGTAGATCTGTGTGTCGTCTGCATAGCTGTGGTAAGCGATTTGGTTCTTTCTCATTATTAGGGTCTTTGGGAGCATATACAGGTTGAATAGGAGTGGCGCAAGAATTGAGCATCTCATGGATGTCCATTCAGACTTATGGTCACCTATACTCACAAAATGACCTGAACCATTTTAGGACTATCCCAGAAAGCCCCACCCAATTTTCCAGCCTATCAAGAAGTATGTTGTGATCGACAGTGTCAAATGCAGCGCTGTGGTTGAGTAGTACCAGCACTGATAATTTTCCTGAATCAGTATTTAAGTGAATACCGTTTATTATCTTTATTAGCATTGTCTCTGTGTTATGATGTGGTCGGAAATCAGATTGAAAATTGTCAAAGTATCAGTTCGAGCTTAAGAATTTGTTCAGCTGATTGAAGACAACTTTTACCATGATCTTGCCTATGAAAGGAAGATTTTAGATAGGTCTATAGTTGCTTAATATGGTCTTATCCAAATTGCTCTTTTTAAGGAGGGGCGTCACAACTGCAGTTTTTAGGGAGTTTGTAAAACTCCCAGAGAGAAGTGAGGCATTTACCATTTACAATTTTTTCTAGGAGATCTGCTTCTAAACAGTTAAATACACTTTTGAAAACAGATGTGGGAAGTGCGTCAGGGGCGCAGGTTTATGTTTTAAGGTGTTTTTTCTTAAAATTTTGCCATCAATTTCTTTGAAATCAGACATTTTAACTACTTTCTCATGTTGTGGTCTAATATGTCTGACCCAAGCGCAACTCAAGGATGCACTGATCTCCTTTCTGATATTATTGATTTTCTCAGAGAAGAAGGAAGCAAACTCATTGCATTTTCTGTCTGAGAGCATTTCTTTGGGAATCTGGCTTGGTGGGTTTGTCAGTCTCTCTACAGTAGCAAAAACTGTGTGTGTGATGTCTAAGTTGCTGCTTACAATATTCGAGAATAAAGACTGTCTAGCTTTGCCTAGTTCCCTATTGAAAGCATGGATGCTGTCTTTGTAGATGTTATAATGGACTATATTTTTGTCTTCCGCCACATGCACTCTGCTTTTCTGCATAGTCTTTTCATATTTTGCACTTGTAGTGTTACAAATGTATTTAAATATTTAATTTAGGTTCCAAAACAATAGTATTTTAACTGAGAAAGTTCTGCACACTTTTTTTCCATTTTGAAGTAATCAAGGCGTCGGACATTAACCTCTTCTCACTTCTCAAAGGTCAGCTGGGCCTTTGTTGATCTAATCAGGCTCATTAGATTAGCATCTCAAGGCTCTGAGTTACACTGTTATGCTGATAAAATCAGGTAACCTGCTGAATCAACATGCTTTGTTTCAGAGTGTCTCCACCTCTATGTAACCCCTCCCCATTGAAAGGTATATGAACACAAGGTATTTTGGCTTAGGTCAGACTTGGGTTAGATTTTTGGACGAAGTAGACTTGAGAATACAACAGCGATGCAACAGCAATAAAGAAACCTGCTTAAAAGATACACCCGAGTCTCCTGGTCTTCGCTTCTGAGTTTTCAAACACTTTAGAAGAAAAAAGTTCTCAACACACTGCTGTTGAGTTTCTCCAAGGTGCTTTTTGACTCCCACTCTTCTTCCTGACTTTCACAGGAGCAATGTCATCAATTACATTTTAACTTTTGATTTAAAAGAATCAATGAGAAAATCAAAAGAGTCAGAAGATATTCTTGGTGTTAAAGATATAGCCTTCATAAATAGTACAATAGTGTTCTCATTTAAGCATCTCTTCTAGACAGACACAGATCCAGCCGTCGTTCCAACCCATCTTGCAGGAGGGAAAGCACAACTCTGATTGGGCACGTTTGGTGGTTCTCCTGATGGGAAGAACATCATTCAATGAAAAGCGTCTTGAATGTCAGCCTGTGAAGCGACCAGTTTAGGACACGCAGGTCCAAGATTGGTCGTAACCCACCACCTTTTCTGGGTACAGGCTGTTGAAGCCTGTCTTCAAAATGGCTGGAGGGACTGGCACGATCGCATTCTTCGCCAGTAGGACTGCAATCTCTGCCCAGGGACTTGTCCGTGTCACAGTCTGCGTCTGCACCATCCCGTCTGCGTCTCCTTCACTACACTTCCCATGATCCTCTCGTCTGCACACCTGAAATCACTCCCTCATCAGCCTCCCGTTCAGCGTCCTGTGTCATCTGTTTCACCTGTTTGCACCTCATTAGACCTGATTCCTCTGTGTATTTAGTTCCCTCTGTTTCATTCTG